CACAGTATCAATAGAAATTGAAGGGCATCCATATCACTCTTTCAGTCTTAAAAACGTGACTAGCAGAAGTTTGGTAGAAACAATCAGAGTCTTTTTCTAAACACAAACAATACTGGGCAAAATTTATCAAAAAGGCACAGAATCCAGAATTGATTCTACTTTATCCATGATGGGAGAATATATATTTTTAAATGAAATAAAGTGGTCAGTAAAATCAATGGGACTTCCTTTACTTATAATTCCTACCTCCCATTTGTTCCATTTGCTCTTAACAAGGGGGTTGCAAGAGGGTGTCAGAGGGGTTGCCAAAGACTATCAGAAAACACAGTATTTTCTGATGGTCATGGGGGTTCTGTGTGGAAAGTTTGGTCCAATTCTATTGTTGGTGGGGTTCAGAATGCTCTTTGAATGTAGGTGAACTATAAATCCCAGCAACTACAACTCCCAAATGTCAAGGTCTATCTTCCCCAAACTCCACCAGTGTTCACATTTGTATATATTGCATATCCATTCCAAGTTTGGTCCAGATTCATCATTGTTTGAATCCACAGTGCTCTCTGGATGCAGGTGAACTACAATTCCAGAACTCAAAGTCAATGCCCACCAAACCCTTCCAATATTTTCTGTTAGTCGTGGGAGTTCTGTGTGACAAGTTTGGTTCAATTCAATCGTTGGTAGAGTTCAGAATGCTCTCTGATTGTAGGTTAACTACAATCAGAGCAACTACAAATCCCAAAAGACAAAATCAATTTCCTTCCCCACCGGATAGATGTGGGCAAAACATCAGGAGAGAAAGTTTCTAGAATATGGCCATACAGCCCAGAAAACTCACAGCAACCTAGTGCTTCCGGCCATGAAAGCCTTTGACAAGACATTCAATATGGGTATTTTCCCATCTCTATCAGAGAGCTCTATTGCCACAGAAAATACAAATGCCAGGTTTCCATTGAATGGAGCAATGGCAGATAAAATGGTGCCAAACTGACATAATTCTGCATTGTGGATGGTCTCAAATACTTCCCTATGTTTCTATTTTCCCTTTCCTATTTATTCCCTTTTTTCCAAGCAGTTGCATCCTTTTCTTCAAGGGATATCATTTAACAATTCTGCTGGAGAAATAGTGTCTTTGAGTAACAACAGGGGAGTGAAAGCTGGATTTGATATCATGAATTTGGTGATCTTTCCAAATCGATCCCTCACACATGTGAAAGTGGGACAAATAGATCCTAGCTCTTCCAAAGGAAAAGAATTCATCATTGATAATCATAGGATTACCTGGCCCTCAAGCTTCAACCAGGTGTGAATCACATCACGTTTTTGGTAGATAAATCATAACAAAAATCTACGTTCATCACAAAAAACCAAGCGTATCATCTATGGCATGTGGAGGTGTGATAAATAATTGCAGAATAAAATTGGGTATGCCTGATAGTAAAGGTAAAGGTTTCCCCTGACATTAAGTCTAGTTGAGTTCAACTCTGGGAGGTGGTGATCATCTCCATTTCTAATCCAAAGAGCCAGCGTTGTCCACAGACGTCTCCAAAGTCATGTGGCCAGCATGACTGCATGGGGTGTTGTTACCTTCCCACTGTAGCAGTACCTATTCCTCTACTCACATTTGTATGTTTTCAAACTGCTAGGTTGGCAGAAGCTGAGGCTAACAGTGAGAGCTCATCTCACTCTCTGGATTCGAACCGCTGACCTTTTGGTCAGCAAGTTCAGCAGCTCAGCGGTTTAACCCACTGTGCCACCGGAGGCTGCTTGGGCATGCCTGATATTTCTTGTTTATTTGTATATCTCCTGTTGATCAAAACATATTTGTCCCTTCTGAGTATTTTTCATCCTTATGGACAGGTCATGCCTATTTCTGTCTGCTGTGATTCCTGCACTCCTGGTTATCAGAAGAAAAAGAGGGAAGGAGAAAAATTTTGCTGCTACGATTGTGTTCCTTGTCCAGAAGGAAAGATTTCCAACCAAACAGGTAGACATTCAGCCAGAAATATTAATGCAGATGACTGATAGATTTGGTAGCCTTCCACATGCCTATGTATTATGTAAACATCCAATAAAAATCCTATATTAATTTTGATTTTTTTAAAAGCATGTTACAGACAACTGTGACATCAACAACAAAAAACCATACACACACAAATGCACGTGTGTAAGCCTGGATATTTTCAGCATCATATTGATACTCACTTTTCTATCTTACCTGCTGAAAAAGAGGATGGGATCATATATAGAATAGGCTGGGTGTCTTACTTCAAGGCTTGATCCACTTAGATCAGTGTCCCTCAACCTTTCTAATGCTGCGACCCATTAATACAGTTCCTCATGTTGCGGTGACCCCCAACCATAACATTATTTTCTTGCTACTTCATAACTTTACTCCTGTTGTGAATTGTAATGTAAATATCAGAAATGCAGGATGTATTTTCATCCACTGGACCAAATTTGGCACAAATACCCATTACGCCCAAATTTGAATACTGGTGGGGTGGGGTGGGGGATTTGATTTTGCCCCTTGGGAATTGTAGTTGTTGGGATTTCTAGTTAACCTACAATCAAAGAGCATTCCACCAACAATGGAACTCCTCCAACTTATCACAGAGAACTCCATGACCCACAGAAAATGCTGGAAAGGTTTGGTGGGTGATTGACCTTGAGTTTTGGAGTTGTAGTTCACTTACATCCAGAGAGCACTGTGGACTCAAACAATGATGGATCTGGGCCAAACTTGGCAAGAATATCAATATGCCCAAATGTGAACACTGGTGGAGTTTGAGGAAAACAGACCTTGATATTTGCTGGGATTTATAGTTTGCCTACAATCAAAGAGCATTCTGAACTCCACCAATAATAGAATTGGGCCTGACTTCCCACACAGAACCTCCATGCCTTGAAAGAACTTGCTGGCGCGATCCTCCCTCCAACCTTGCACACTCTCCCTCGCCCACACATGCACAGTATGCTGCCATGTGCTGAGCATGCCTGCTCTCTCCTCCCCTCTTGGAGTCTCAAAGACAGCCCTCCCCTGGCTGAGAAGCCGGTTGAGAGGTCGGCCAATCACAGCGGAGGAGGGCTTTTGGTGGGGGGATTCACCGTCTGTTTCCAAAAAAGAAGAGAAGGACATGAGAGATCTTCAGCCTTCTCTGCTAAAGGGGTTCCTAAGACCAAAATATATGTTTTCTGATGGTCTTTGGTGACCCCTCTGAAACCCCCTTGTGACCTCCTTAGAAATGCTGACTTAGATGTTCACATATCAAACTAAAGAGCTATTAAGAAATAATTAATTCAATACAGTACCCTCAGAATAGGGATAATCATAAGCAATAGTCTCAGTGTTCAGATTATTGATGGAAATTAGTCTCATGTTATATGTGATTCAGCACCATTAATGGCCTTTCTTTCCTTTTTCTCAAGACACGACTGAGTGCTTTCCATGCCTGGAAGATCAGTATGCAAGCAAGGACCAAGATCGATGTATTCATAAAGTTGTAACATTTCTATCTTATGAAGATCCCTTAGGAAAATCTTTAGCTTCAAGCGCTGCTTCTTTATCCCTGTTCACAGTTCTTGTACTTGGAATTTTTGTTAAATACAACAATACTCCCATAGTCAAAGCCAACAATCAGAAACTCACCTACACCCTCCTTTCCTCTCTCCTGCTCTGTTTCCTGTCTTCTTTCCTATTCATTGGTAAGCCAGAGAAATTATACTGCCTTCTCCGACAACCATTTTTTGGGTTCATCTTCTCGGTTGCTGTTTCTTCTGTGTTGGCCAAAACCATCACTGTGCTTGTAGCGTTTATGGCTTCTAAGCCAGGATCCAGTATGAAAAACTGGTTGGGAACAAAAGTAGTCACCTCCATTGTCCTTTCTTGCTCTCTTATTCAAACAGGGATTTGTATCATCTGGCTTGGAACATCTCCCCCATTTCCAGGTTTAGATATGAACTCAGTAGCTGGAGAAATCATTGCGCAGTGTAATGACGGGTCTGCCGCCATGTTTTATCTTGTCTTGGGTTACATGGGACTTCTGTCCATCATCAGTTTAATTGTGGCTTTCCTAGCCAGGAAGTTGCCAAACACTTTTAATGAAGCCAAGTTTATCACCTTCAGTATGTTGATTTTTTGCAGTGTTTGGCTGTGTTTTGTCCCAGCCTACCTGAGCACGAAGGGGAAATACATGGTAGCTGTGGAGATTTTCTCTATCTTAGCTTCCAGTGCTGGGTTGCTCTGTTGCATCTTCCCTCCAAAATGTTACATTATTCTGTTTAAACCTGAGCTGAACAGCAGGGATCAGGTAACCAGGAGAAAGACTTAGGTGTAAATGGATGATTTTCACATTTTTGTTGCTGATATATTCAAAGTCTTTTACTCTCAGGTTAATTAAATCTCTAGTAGGACGAACAATTGTTTTTTAAAAAGCTTCTCAGATACCAGTTGTATAAGACTCAGTATCAAAAACGGTGTTATTAGCCATCCTCATGTAAACATAAACACGACTGAGTGCTGGAATATAAAAGCTGTGAATAAATAAACAAACAAACAAGCAAGCAAGCAAGCAAGCAAACTCCTGGGGCAGAATGTAAGCTAGATGTAGGTGTACATGTGTGTCTTCCGCTGTATTCGTCCAGCCACTTCATAACTTGTACATTTTAAGATCAGAACAAAAGGTTGCCATAGTTTTTCTGGTACAAAGCCTTGTCTTTTCCCATTCATATAAACCTTACCACACTAATACTGAAACATTAACAACCTTAGATATACAGATGATACCACTTTGATGGCTGAAAGCATGGAGGAGCTGAGGAGCCTTATAACCAAGGTGAAAGAAAAAAGTGCAAAAGCTGGGTTGCAGTTAAACATCAAAAAACACCAAAATTATGGCAACCATACTGACTGATAACTGGCAAATAGAGAGAGAAGACATGGAGGCAGCGACAGGGTTTGCATTTCTAGGTGTAAAGATTACTGCAGATGTAGACTGCAGCCAGGAAATTAGAAGATGGTTACTTCTTGGGAGGAGAGCATTGACCAATCTTGATAAAAGAGTGAAGAGTAGAGACATCACACTGGCAATGAAGATCTGCATAGTTAAAGCAATTGTATTCCCTGTAGTAACTTATGGATGCGAGAAATGGACCATAAGGAAGGTTGAGTGAAGAAAGATCTATCCTTTTGAACTGTGGTGTTGGAGGAAAATTCTGAGAGTGCCTTGGACCACAAGAAGATCCAACCAGTTCATACTCCAGGAAATAAAGCCTGACTGCTCACTGGAGGGAAGAATATTAGAGGATTACTTTGGTGACAAAATGAAAAGACAGGAAAGCTTGGAGAAGACAATGATGCTGGGGAAAATGGAAGGAAAAAGGAAGAGGGGCGACCAAGGACAAGGTGAATGGATGGTATCCTTGAAGTGACTAGTTTGCCCTTGAAGAAGCTGGGGGTGGTGACAGCCGACAGGGAACTCTGGCATGGGCTGGTCCAGAAGGTCACAAAGAGTTGGAAGCAAATGAACAAATAAACAACAACAAAACACTGATACGTTCTCTTATTCTACTGCACCAGAGTATCCGGAGTTTATTCCTGTCTTGTCTACTCTCATTTCCTTCAGATGGCTTGTTTAGGGGAACAAGAAGATTAAGTATGACTCTTTCACAAAAGATTGAGTTGGGACACAACTAGTAGATACGTTCTCAATAGAAGTATTGACTAATGTTCTAAGTAACTGTCAAAGGAATGCTCCAGTTCCAGTTTATTGTAATGGCAGGTCTACATGGGCCAGTAAATCCTGGGTCAGTTTGGAGTTGAAATGCTCCATTCTGGCCCCAGGGGTGCCCATATGCACCATCCTGAGCCTGTGATGGTAGTGGATCAGAGTCCAACTGCACTAAGACTGCATTAGCCCCACTGAATTGTCAGTTGTCATCATACCAACTATGTTGTCTTAGACTTGTAGATGACTACAAAGCAATCTGTGAGCTCCTAGCCATTGCAGACACTTTGTACAGCCATCAACAGAAGTGCCTGCATTACAAGGAAGGGTCAGATCTCCTTCTTTCTGATCACATGGGTGCCTCTGCTGATGCTAGAATCACATGGAGCCCTTTGTCCAGCTGGTGGTGGTGTCAGCAACACAGAAGGTAAAGTGATGGTCAAGTGAGACCAATGCGCTCTCATCCTGGCTGGATCATGTGAGTGCCAACTTGGCACTGAAGCAGGTTTAGCAAGGTGCATGTGGCCACCTTCAGGGCTTGTCTGGATCATTATTGCTCTGGATTCACCAATCACTGCAGAGTCACCCTGACAGAGCTATAAATGGATAGAGGACCCTGGGTGGTCTAGCATCATGTCATTGAGTCTGAAAAGAAACCCACATGACTCCTCTGTTATCAAACCAAAACAGACATGTACACCCTAGTGCTATGTCTTCTGCTGCATAAGTGGATTGGATGGAAATCATATGCTTCCCTACTGATGTCTTTCCTAATCAATCCCTTTTTCTTCATTATAGCAGCCATTTCCAAGAACTCTGAGTTTCCTTCTGTTTCCTCTCATTCCTGGAGGCATGTATTGAATGGAGTGGAGACAAATGAGCACTGGTTGATTAAACAGGAATGTGCCCATGTTGCTGTTGTGGTTTTCCAGTTGTTTCTGTGTTATAGTGACCAGCTTGATGTGACTAGGATTTATGGTTCAGTGCTTCAGCTATTTTTGTTTTTGTTGCTAAAGCTTTGCCGTCTGCTCTCTGTATGTTTTTGTGAATATGCCCATATGGATGTTTCACACTGTGCGCCTTGCACAGTAATATACGGCAGTGTCTTCAGCTTTCAAATTTGTCAGCAGCAGATATGAAGTGCTGACTGAAGTGTTCACAGAGATAGTGACTCGGCCTTCAAGAGTCTTTAGATAGAAAGTATTAAAATTATCTGTTCTAATAGTAGCAACCCATTCTAGTCCTTTCCCTGGTGCCTGTCTGATCCAGCTCATACTGTAGTCTGTAAACGTGTATCCGGATGCTTTACAAGTAAATTTTACTGACTCTCCAGGCTTTTTAACTTCAGGACTAGACTGAATGAAGTGGATTTGAGATAGAACAGCTGTGGGACAGAACAAGAAAAACATACTATTAGTTCCTAGAAAAGTCAAATCAAAACATTAAATTCTCCTTTGTATAAATAGTACTTTTAGATCTTTTCCTGGAGTCTCTATGAATAAAATCAATGAAACAGCACAAATATGGGGTTTTATTATTACTCATTCTCTATCCAATCCGTTTGCTCTCTGTGAACAAACATATTTTTGACAATATCTATCATTACCTGACAATGAAGCTGCTAAAAGGAGAAGACATGGCAGAAACAACATGATCCCAGCTAATAAAAGGGGGAAAAATGATAACTTTTGTTGAGGGCACTTTTGTTTTAAACCCTTCCCAGAGAGGAAATGCATATTTTCCATTTGCATATGGCTATTATGGCAGCTTTAAACATACAAGAGCAGGCAGGTAGTTCAGTTTTGGAGGAAATAGAGGCAATCTCCAAGTTACAAACAAAGATAGGTTCTGTAGGTTTGTTCTTAAGTTGAATGTGTATGTAAGTTGGAATAGGTACATTTTTAAAGTGTAACTCATAGACAGACAGACAGATAGATAGACAGATAAGATTTGGATCACATAGGGAAGTGTTAGTCCCCCTGTGGTGTTTGTTTTGCTGTCTGTGCCCGTATCCAGAAGATTTCCCCTCACTTACTGTCCCTGTGACAATTGATTTTGAAAAATTTGGCTTGCTGTGGAAACAAGGATTGGTGATGCAGCGGAAACACCTTTCCCCATGATAATAACTCTTCCAGGAGTGGTTTTCCTTCCCTAGGGATTGATTTATCTCACTTCCTATCTCATACCCATTCTTAACTATGAGTCGATTGTAAGTCAGATGTTCGTAACTCAGGGACTGCCTGTACTTAATGATTCACAGGTTCAGGAATCCCAGAATGTCTAGGACTTTCTCTCTTCTCTAGGATCCCCCTTCTCTGATTTATTGATTTGCACTTGTGATAGCATTGTGTATAGATTGGGTTGCTTATTTTAATGAGGATCAACGAATTACAGTGAGGGGTAGTGGTCTGAACATGGATTTTAAGTGGATTTTAAGTGGATTTTTTATCTAGTGTCATAAAACTTTAATGTGTGTGTGTGTGTGTGCGCGCGCGCGCATGTGTACTAGGCCTGGTCAATCCATGGTTCTAAATGGTTCTAAAGTACTTACAAAACTAAAGTTCTGGTGGTGAAAATTTCAGAACTCTAACAAAACTCTCAAAATTTCATTATAAATGGCAGTTCCTAATTGATTCTATCATAAAAATCACCAATAATGAAATAATAATTAAATTTTGAAAGTTTTGTTAGAGTTCTGAAATTTTCACCACCAGAACTTTAGTTTTGTAAGTACTTTAGAACCATTTAGAACCATGGATTGCCCAGGCCTAGTGTATACATATATATAATTTAAAATAAATCTGTGAAGCCATTCATATCTATAGTTGGGTAACCAAATCAATAGAGCAGAAATGTAAAACTTGGTTTCCTCTATTTTGTTCATGCCCAGCATTATTTTTTAACTTAATTACATTTGGCCCAGCCATAGATTTTAAATGTGTTTTGTGCTATTGTTCAATGTTTATGCTATTTGTGTATGAGATTTATTTTAATTGCTTTGTATTAGTAGTTGTATTTTGTTTCGTATTGTGGTTGTTATTGCTTGTATTGATGTATTGTGGGCTCGGCCTCATGTAAGCCGCACCGAGTCCCTTGGGGAAATAGTAGCAGGGTATAAATAAAGTTTATTATTATTATTATTATTCTGTGGAAGAAGGTGCCATCTAGGGGATCTGGGAGACAATACTGTATATACTCATGTATAAGTCTAGGAATTTTAGTCTAATGATCGAACCCAACTTTCTAAGACAAGTTATCCATGAGTGTATGCACATACTATACTCTTAAAAAAAAAAGCAAACTCTTATATAAGTAGAGTGGCAAAAAAACCAAAATCATCCCAGGAAAACCTAAATGAAGCACCAGCTTCCTTCTACTTTCTCTGCCAGGACATAACTTCTGGACTTTTTGAATGACTGGATGGAAAAAATAGTGGTGGTAGTCCTTGCACTCTCGTTCAAAGGAGATCTGAAAGAATAGAGGGAGCTGGTGTTTTTTTAAGGATCGCTAAAAGAGTAGAGGGAGTTGGTAATTCCTGGGACAGACATATTATTACCTGAATCTTTGGTTAATTCTACATGGGTGAGCTTTTTAAGGAGGCAAACAGTTAAAACAGATCAGAACCACAGGAACTGAGTTAGTGATTAATATTTGCTTTCACCATTCAGGCAAAAAATAGTAGGTATGCAAAAAAAATATTCAAAACATTCCAATCACCATTAACATCATCATAGTCGTCAGCAGCAGAAGCATCATCATCACTCAGGTTTCAACCCCCGTTGGGAATTCTGGATACACAGGAATATTTGCAGTTCAAAACTTATTCCTTATTTTTTTAAAAGAAGAAGAAGAACACTTTTCCCAAAGTGTTCTTGCCATACATCAAGGGAACCACTGACCGCATAGGGAAGCTGATGAGGAAACACAACATACAAACTATCTACAGACCCACCAAGAAAATCCAACAAATGCTACGTTCAGCAAAGGACAAGAGGGATCCTCTCACTTCTGCAGGAGTCTACCGTGTACCATGCAGCTGTGGACAAGTCTACATAGGGACCACCAAATGCAGCATTGCCCAAACACGAATCAAGGAACATGAAAGGCACTGCAGACTACTTCAACCAGAGAAGTCAGCCATAGCCAGGCCTGTAGCGAGGGGGTGGTTTTAGGGGTTCAACCCCCCCCCCTGAAATGTTTCAGATTTTTTAAAAAAACCTGGTTTACTCATGAATTTTAACTGGTTAACCAAATCCCCATGCTAAGTCTATGAAATGCAAAAAATAAAGAGTCCCTCCAGAACTGCAAGCACTATCTCAAGCAAATTTTGACAATTTATTCACACTGTCATTACTTGCAGCAATAGCCGATGTAGTGAAGCAACCAAGTTGGGTGTGTGTGTGTTGAATGCTCTCATTAAGGAGGCCAGACTTGGTGGAGGTGGTTGACAGGGGCGGAGCTGCAGGCTATTGAAGGTTGCTCTGCCCCCTGCTGTGCTCTTTGCTTCAGCGTGAGCTAGGAGGCAGGTTTCAACCCCCCCCCCCAAATTTTCAACCCTCCCCGAAATTTTCAACCCCCCCCCCGAAATTGTCAACCCTCCCCGAAATTTTTTTCTGGCTACGGCCCTGGCCATAGCAGAGCACCTGATGAACCAACCTGGACATAGCATATTATTTGAGAACACAGAAATGCTGGACCACTCTCACAACCACCATGTCAGATTACACAGAGAAGCCATTGAAATCCACAACCACGTGGACAATTTCAACAGAAAGGAGGAAACCATGAAATGAACAAAATCTGGCTACCAGTATTAAAAAAACTCTAAAATTAAAACAGCAAAACAGCAGAGGGAAAACAATCAGGGACATCTAATCACCTCTCAACAAAAGATTGCTCCAGGCACTGCCAGGCTATCAAATGCTAATCAAGGTGGTCAGTTGAAACATTCACACCTAGCTCCAGCAGACAAGAGTCCTTTGTCCCACCCTGGTCATTCCACAGATATATAAACCCATTTTCCTAGGTCCAACAGACCTCACTACCTCTGAGGATGCTTGCCATAGATGCAGGCGAAACGTCAGGAGAGAATGCCTCTAGACCATGGCCATATAGCCCGAAAAAACCTACAACAACCCAGTGATTCCGGCCATGAAAGCCTTCGACAATACAATAATAATAATAATAATAATAATAATAATAATAATAATAATAATAATGGGTTTTAAAAGCAGAGTGCACACATGGAAACTTTTCTGTGAAAAATAACATCTTTTTAGCACAGAAAATTAATTCAATTTCATCCAGGACTCCCTTGAGCTAAAAGGCCACATCATGCTTTGGAATCGCCCTGAAAACTGGCATCACATATTGGCTTATTAATATCCAGCTTAGTAGAATTCAGAGAAAATTTTATCAGCAAAGAATATTAGCTAAGTCATAGAAAAAAATTGTACATTACACCGAGGAAACTAAGCTTAATGTATAAGAATACACAAAAACATTGTTTGAAGTGTAAGGACCAAGAGGGTAGTTTCTGCCATATGGGGTGGACTTGCAAAGAAGCAAAGAAATTCTGGGGAAAATCATGCAGCAAGCCAACATATTCTTAAGATCAAATTTCCTATGAAGCCGGAATTTTATCTATTAGGCATAACTGACTCGGACATCTCATTGGACTTCAATGATGATATTTTGTTTACATATTTGACCACAGCTACCAGAATTTGCTATGCAAGACTATGGAAGCAAAAAGAAACACCAGAGCTTGATGAATGGTTTCAGAAAGCGAGAGAGGTCAAAGACATGGACAATTTAACTTTTTTGTTAAAGAAAAATTCGGGGAACCCCAGGAAATATACAGACTGGTCCAAGATTGAGAAATATGAATAAGCGAGAAGCTAATCAGATCCTTTAAAAGACATTAATATGTAAGGGAGGAACATGAAGAGCCAATTTGTTTTATTGAAATGTTATGAAGCTCACAGTGATTGGTAATTATGTAGGTAGAGATAAAAGCAAAGCCACAAAGGACTAGATGGAAGTCACCATTTTTTTGTTGTTTTTGTTCTTTTTTGTTTGTTTTGTTTGTTTTTTATTTTTCAATATTTTTTTCTTTTTCCTTTTTTAAATTTTTCTCCATCTTTTTTTCTTTATATATTTTTTCCTTCTTTCCTATTATTTTATTGTTCTCCCACTTTACTTGTAAATGAAAAGAAAAATATATATTTTTCCCCTTTGTGTTCCTCACCCGTGTCCCCCCTTATCCTTAATAAAAATAGATTGAATAAAAAATGTTCAGTTTTCCAAATTACAGTTGCATATAAATTCAAAGCTATTCTGGCTCTAATTCACACAACTCTTCACATGCAGCTTTTTATTTTTGGATATATTTCAAAAGAGGAGGTGAAAAAAAAAACTCTTACGTCTGTCTCCCTTTGCAAGAGTTCCACAAATCTCTACTATGTATTTGTATGGAAGGAAATCACTGTGAGCCAACTACCACAGTGTCAGATGCCCATACAAAAATCCATGTCTAATGTAATCTCAGTGGAATATGTATGCAGTAGTGTGGTGGAGGCAGAACAAGAGAGATGCTGAATGTGTGGTCTTCCTGAAGTTGCAGGGCTACAACCTCCATCACTCTTAATCACTGGCTATGATA